CAATGGATTCATTCTACTGGGCTTCCTGGGGTTGTGATCCTCATTGTCTTTTCCTAGGATATTGTCTAAAATTTTTTGGAGTGTTGGTTTGATATTCATGAAGTTCCTAAGGTACTCTTTTTCATGAAAGTATTTTATTTTACTATCAATTCTGAAAGATAGTTTTGCAGGGTACATCAATCTGGGTTGGATGCTCTTTTCCTTTAGGGCTTGGAATACATCACTGTGCTCTTCTAGCCTTGAGGGTTTGCATTGCGAAGCCTGCTGTGATTCTGATGGGCTTTCCCTTGTATGTGATTTGTTTCTTTTCTCTAACTGCTTGTAGAATTTTGTTCTTCTGTTGGGTTTCTGGAATCTTACCACTTATATGCCTGTGTGTATATGTTTTTTGATCAAGGCTAGTTGGAGTCCTATATGCCTCACTTATCTTATGTCAAGTTCTTTTCCCCTGCTTGGGAAGTTTTCTGCCATCACTTCTGTGAACAGCTTTTTTTATGTCACCTGTACTGTCCCCTGTTTTTTCATTGACTCTGATCAGTCTTATGTTATTCTTCTTTGCATTGTCTAGCAGCTGCTGGATTGATTTCTCGTGGTCCCTTACTATTTTAAAGCAATTTTTCTTTTCCTAGTCACTAATTGCAATCTTATCTTCTATATCTGAAATTCTGTCCTCACATTGGCTCATTCTGCTGCGTAAACTTTCCATGGAGTTTTTAAAATCTCCTGGAAGTCTGTTTGCACCTGTTTTATGGATTCCATTTGTTTCCTATGTTGAGATTCCATCATGTTCCTCAGCTCCTCTATTTTTTTATCTGTGTCCTCTCTAGGTTTTTTATTCATGTCTTGCACTATGTGCACAATCTCTACTGTTGTCTTAGAAATTATTTCTGATTTTATTTTTTCCAGATCCTCTTTTGTTGCCAGTTCAGGAAGTCCAGGTGGTTGAGTACCAGAGTATTCTATGTCGTTTCCCTTTGGGGTTGCTTTAGGTGATCTGGAAGTGTGGTTTTGAGACTTGTTTATGTGTCTTCTCATTTTGATCTGGGGGGAAGTGTGCTGTCTCCTCCTCTGCACTGTGGGGGGTGTTGGTAAGGGGGCCGGAAGCCTCCTCCTGGGTGCTTGGAGTGG